CACGGAACTCCCATGACCAACAGAAAATGCTGGAGGGTTTGGTGGCCATTGACCTTGAGTTTTGGAGTTGTAGTTCACCTCCATCCAGAGAGCACTGTGGACTCAAACAATGATGGATCTGAACCAAACTTGGCACAGATACTCAATATGTCCTCCCCCATTTTGGACATTCTTTTCATGTTAGGAGTGACTTGAGAAACTGCAAGTTGCTTCTGATGTGAGAGAATTGGCCATCTGCAAGGATGATGCCCAGGAGATGCCCGGGTGTTTGATGTTTTATATCCGTGTGGGGGGCTTCTCTCATGTCCCCGCATGAGGAGCTGGAGCTGATGAGCTCAATCCGCCTCTCCCTGGATTCGAACCTGCGACCTGTCAGTCATCAGTCCTGCCGGCACAGGGGTTTAATCCACTGCGCTACTGGGGGCTCCCATGTCATGTGATGGCACATTGGAAATAGACCCTAGCAGCCATGGAATTGAATCAAACTTGGCACACAGAACTCCCATGAACAACAGAAAATATTGGAAGGGTTTGATGGGCATTGACCTTATGTTTTGGAATTGTAGTTCACCTACATCCAGAGAGCACTGTGGACTCAAGTAATGATGGGTCTGGACCAAATGTGATTCTCAGGACCATCAGGAATATGCGTTTTCTGGTGGTCTTTGGTAACCCCTCTGAATATCCCCCCCCCCCCCATGACCCCCCCAGGGGTCCTAATCCCCAGGTTGAGAAACACTGCTTTAGGCTTGACATGAATTGGAAACAACATGCAAACAATGATGCGATTGAAGGGATAGTGTTATGTCAGGCTCAATGGCAATGCTTTCCTTGGTTACAAAGTGTATTTCCAGGGATCATCTTTGTGGCAGATTACACTATGTAACCAAATTTGAAAAAAAAATGTTCCCAATTTGAAAGCATTATTTCCTGGGTTGTTGTAGGTTTTTTTTGGGCTATATGGCCATGGTCTAGAGGCATTCTCTCCTGACGTTTCGCCTGCATCTATGGCAAGCATCCTCAGAGGTAGTGAGGTCTCAAACCTCACTACCTCTGAGGATGCTTGCCATAGATGCAGGCGAAACGTCAGGAGAGAATGCCTCTAGACCATGGCCATATAGCCCGAAAAACCTACAACAACCCAGTGATTCCGGCCATGAAAGCCTTCGACAACACATTTTTAAAAAATATTTTGTTTCATAAAAGTCTTTGTTCTACTCCAGAAACGTTTTTATGGCTGCCACAAATTAGATTGAATTGGTTGAGACTCAATGAGATATTCATTGAAAAACTAGAGCAAAATGTGCTGCAGGATCTCCTGCAAAAAAATAATATTTTTTTTTTGTAGTTTAATAGATCTTTTCCGTGTGATAATGATAGAACCTATTAGGAAATGACATTTAGAACCCAAGAACAAAAATGGTGTTACATAATGTAATGCAACCCTTATCTTTAATCGGATAGATGGTACACCTTGTCCCCTTGTACATTTCTTTTTATAGCAATGATTGGCAAGAAAAGTCTGCAGAATTAATTTACTGTGCAAAGCAGGAACTGAGATAAGCAGAAAAATCAAGGCTGGCTTGGCTTTCTTTGCCCCAGGAAGAGAAATATTGTTTTGGACTACAACTCCCATTGGGATTCTGGGAGTTATAGACTGAGACCAGGGTATTTGTTGCACTCAGAGCGCTCTGAACCCCACCAATGATGGAACTGGGCCAAACATGACACACAGAACCCTGGTGACCAACAGAACACACTGGAGGTATTTGTGGGGGACTGACCCACCCGCGTGGGAGTTGTAGTCCACCCTGCATACAGAGCACTCTGAACCCCCATCAATAAAGGATCTGGACCAAACTTGGCATACAGACCCAACATGTTAATGTGAATTTACTTAGACTTTGGGGGTCATTTCCCTCGGAATCTGGGAGTTGTACTTTACCTACATTCATAGAAACTGTGGCCGCCACTGACAATGGACTAGGATCAAACTTAGCACAGAGAAGCCCCATGACCAACTGCACATACTGCAAGGGTTTGGGGAAAATGACCTTGATTTTGGGAGGTGTAGTTCACCTGCATCCAGAGAGCACTGAACCTAGCCAATGACAGATCTGGATCAAACTTGTCACACACACCCAACATGGCCAACTGTGCATACAGGCCTAGTTTGGGGAGGATTGACCCACGATTCTGGGAATTGTAGTTCACCCACATATTTATTTATTATTCAAACTTATATGCCGCCACTCCCCTAGGGCTTGGAGGAGCTTACAAAACAAACTGGAATCTAACACAAATTAAGACAACAGATCAAAGGTCAAAAGCCTGTTGAAACAGATATGTCTTACAAGCCCTGCGGAAGGCTGATAAGTCCCGCAAGGCACGAACTTCTGGTGGCAGAGTGTTCCAGAGCGATGGTGCCACTACTGTAAAGGCTCTGCGTCTAGTTGCTGTTAGACGCAAGGTTTTAAAACTGGGAACTTCCAATAAATCTTGGTCCTCAGAACGGAGGGATCTCTGGGGTTGGTAGGGGGTGAGGCGGTCCCTTAGGTACATCGGCCCCAGACCATGCAAGGCCTTAAAGGTAAGTACCATCACTTTGAAAGTGATCCGGTGCTCAATTGGTAACCAATGCAGCTGCAGTAAAATTGGTGTTATGTGGCATCTCATCGGAGTTCCCGCAAGAAGCCGAGCAGCTGCATTTTGTACCAACTTGAGCTTCCGGATCACCGACAGAGGAAGGCCAATGTAGAGGGCGTTACAGTAGTCCAGTCTTGAGATGACCGTAGCCTGGATCACCGTAGCTAGGTCGTCCCTGGACAGGGGGCCAGCCGTCTAGCCTGCCGCAGGTGAAAGAAGGCGGTTCTGCTCACGGCGGAGACCTGGGCCTCCATCGTCAGCAGAGGGTCCAAAAGGACTCCCAGACTCTTTACCAATGATGACGGGCGTAGCGCCTCGCCATCCAGGGTAGGCAGCTGGATATCCCCACTGCCCGTTTGACCCAGCCATAGGATCTCCATCTTTGCCGGGTTTACCCTCAACCTGCTGGCATGCAGCCATCCAGTAACGGCCTCAAGGCATTGATGAAAATTATCAGAGTCTGGCCGGCCTTCCATCTTCAACATAAGCTGAGTGTCATCAGCGTACTGGTAACACTCAAGCCCAAAACCTTGAACCAGCTGAGCAAGTGGTCGCATATAGATGTTAAACAACAGAGGGGAGAGAATGGCCCCCTGAGGAACCCCACAAGATAGAGGGGACCTCTCAGAGACCAGGCCTCCCCTCTCCACTCGCTGTCCACGGTTGTGAAAAAGGAGGACAGCCAGTTTAAAGCTCTCCCCCTGATTCCAGCAACAGCAAGGCGGTGGGTCAAAAGATTGTGGTCGACTGTGTCAAATGCTGCTGTGAGATCCAATAACACGAGCAGCGCAGACCCGCCCTGGTCAAGCTGGCTTGAAGGTGATCCGTGATGGAGACTGTTTATTTACTTATTTATTTATTTATTTTGAAGTTTTCTATACCGGCCTTCTCACCTCAACGAGGGACTCAGGTCGGTTTACAGCATATAAGAAAGTACAATAATATATAAGTACAACAAAGTGCAAAATCATTACATATTAAAATAGTACACTAAAATACAATAAGACATCATCATCACAATTACCTAAGCCAAATCGTCAATCCAGTCATAGTCATAGTCATATTCGTAGTCACAGTTCAGCACCAGGAAGGAGGTTATAGTTCAGTCCTCGAATGCCACATTCCAGAGCCAGGTCTTTAATAGTTTCCTGAACATCAGGAGGGAGGGAGCAGATCTGATCTCTAGTGGGAGGGAGTTCCAAAGCCGGGGAGCCACCACCGAGAAGGTCCTGTCCCTCGTCCCCACCAACCGTGATTGCGAGGGTGGTGGGACCGAGAGCAGGGCCCCCCCGGAAGATCTTAATAGCCTTGATGGTTCATAGGGGAGAATCCGTTCGGACAGGTAAACTGGGCCGGAGTCGTTTAGGGCTTTATAGGTCAAAACCAGCACTTTGAATTGTGCACGGAAGCTAATCGGCAGCCAGTGGAGCTGGCGTAACAGAGGGGTCGTATGGTCTCTGTACCCCGCTCCTGTTAGCAATCTGGCTGCCGCACGTTGGACTGATTGAAGCTTCCGGGCAGTCTTCAGAGGCAACCCCACGTAGAGAGCGTTGCAGTAGTCTAGACGGGATGTAACCAGAGCGTGGACCACCGTGGCCAAGTCAGACTTCCCAAGGTACGGGCGCAGCTGGCGCACTAACACAGTCTCTGTCCCATGCCCCACACGCAGCTGGACTGGAAGGGATCTAATCTGGCAGTGTCGTCTAAGAGCTGCTGCAACTGCTCTGCTGCTGCCCTCTCAATCACCTTGCCCAGAAAATGGAAGATTTGAGACTGGGCAATAACTGGAGGGAACCGAACAATCTAAATCTGGTTATGTATTTTCTAATGGGAGTATTCATAAAAAACAAAATCAAAGACTGGCTTTTTCCTAATTAATAGTGTTACTAATTAACTTAATGATATGACCTAGCATCCCAAAATAAACAATGCCTTTTCCAAATAATCCCAGACACTGCCAGGTACCCAAGTTAGTCTGAAATAGAACACAAACTGCATTTGTTACACACATAGACCCATAATGTATTCCCAATGGATATGGAGTCATCTTGTACACCTCTCATACTTTTCTGCATGAGTCCAGAACATCCCACATGCCTACCTGAATGGAAGAGTTCATGCTGCAACATTTTGCTCCAAAGTATAACAATATTTTGTTTTTTCTTTGCAAAATCAGGGCTAAGACCTTGAAACTGGGATGGAAGTTGTTACAGTTGGCGCCTTGGTATTAAACCACTTTTTGTGGGTTACTTCCTGATGGCAAGAGTCCTAAAACGTCCCGTGTCAGGAGTTACAAGGGAAGACATTAGTTGATAAGGATGATTCACAGCTGTCAGAACGTTCAAAGGTTCCTTGGGCTCCTGCCTTATAAGTGAGCTGCTGAACTTTGCCACTTTCTTTGGAACTCCTGAGACACCGTTATCTTCCCACCTGCCGCGATGTGGCTCCCAGGAATAGGGCTTTGGCTGGGGTTGGCCTTCTCCGGTGCCGTCATTCCAGGTAACATGGAAGGAGAAGGATCATGGGATTGGGAGGTCTGTAGCTGGTCACATTCCTACTGTTCAACATCTTTATTAATGACTTGGATGAAGGGTTAGAAGGCAGGATCATCAAGTTTGCAGACGACAAACTTGATGGGAGGGATAGCCAATACTCCAGAGGACAGGAGCAGGATTCAAAACGATCTTGACAGATTAGACAGATGATTGGCCAAAACTAACACATTGTAGTTCAACAGGGACAAATGCAAGATACTCCACTTTGGAAGGAAAAACGAAATGCAAAGATACAGAATGGGGGATGCCTGGCTCGAGAGCAGTATGTGTGAAAAAGATCTTGGAGTCCTCGTGGACAGCAAGTTAAACATGAGCCAACAATGTGATGTGGCGGCAAAAAAGCCAATGGGATTTTGGCCTGCATCAAGAGGAGCATAGTGTCTAGATCTAGTCATGCTCCCCATGCTCTATTCTGCTTTGGTTAGACCACACCTGGAATATTGTGTCCAATTCTGGGCACCACAATTCAAGAGAGATATTGACAAGCTGGAATGTGTCCAGAGGAGGGCGACTAAAATGATCAAGGGTCTGGAGAACAAGCCCTATGAGGAGCGGCTTAAGGAGCTGGGCATGTTTAGCCTGAAGAAGAGAAGGCTGAGAGATATGATAGCCATGTATAAATATGTGAGAGGAAGCCACAGGGAGGAGGGAGCAAGCTTGTTTTCTGCTTCCCTGGAGACTAGGACACGGAAAAATGGCTTCAAACTACAAGAAAGGAGATTCCACCTGAACATGAGGAAGAACTTCCTGACTGTGAGAGCTGTTCAGCAGTGGAACTCTCTGTATTTTGGAGGCTCCTTCTTTGGAAGCTTTTAAACAGAGGCTGGATGGCCATCTGTCAGGGGTGATTTGAATGCAATATTCCTGCTTCTTGGCAGAATGGGGTTGGAGTGGATGGCCCATGAGGTCTCTTCCAAATCTTTGATTCTATGATTCTATGTTTGCTGCCAGAGTCTAAACCAGTGATTCCAAACTCTAGTACTACAGGTGTTCTGGATTTCGGTTCCCAGCCTTGGTCAATGATTAGAAATCCTGAGAGATGACGTTCTAAATACTGGGAAGACCAGAGTTTGGGAAACACTGGAAACCTGGAGACTCCCATAAAGGACAGGCAACGTGACTGGATGTCCCAAAATTGAGGAAATTGAGGAAGCATTTCTCAACCTGGGAGTCAGGAGGGGTCACGAGGGGGTGCCAAAAACCATCAGAAAACACAGTATTTTCTGTTGGTCATGGGGGTTTCTGTGTGGGAAATTTGGCCCAATTCTATTGTTGGTGGAGTTCAGGATGCACTTTGATTGTAGGTGAACTATAAATCCCAGCTATTACAACTCCCAAATGTCAAGGTCTATTTCCCCCAAACTCTACCAGTGTTCACATTTGGGCATATCGTTTGGTCCAGATCCAACATTGTTTTGAGTCCACAGTGCTCTCTGGATGTAGGTGAACTACAACTCCAAAACTCAAGGTCAATACCCACCAAACCCTTCCAGTATTTTCTCTTGGTCATGCGAGTTCTGTGTGTCAAGTTTGATTCAATTCCATCATTGGTGGAGTTCAGAATGCTCTTTGATTGTAGCTGAACTATAAATCCCAGCAACTACAACTCCCAAATGTCAAGGTCTATTTTCCCAAAACTCCACCAGTGTTCACATTTGGGCATATTGAGTATTCATGCCAAGTTTGGTCCATATCCATCATTGTTTGAGTCCACAGTGCTCTCTGGATGTAGGTGAACTACAACTCCCAAACTCAAGGTCAATGCCCAGCAAAACCCTTCCAGTATTTTCTGTTGGTCATGGGAGTTCTGTGTGCCAAGTTTGGTTAATTCCATCATTGGTGGAGTTCAGAATGCTCTTTGATTGTAGGTGAACTATAAATCCCAGCAACTACAATTCACAAATGTCAAGGTCTATTTTCCCCAAACTACACTTGTGTTCACATTTGGGCATATTGAGTATTTGTGCCCAGTTTGGTCCAGATCCATCATTGTTTGAGTCCACAGTGCTCTCTGGATGTAGGTGAACTACAACTCCCAAACTCAAAGTCAATGCCCACCAAACCCTTCCAGTTTTCTGTTGGTCATGGGAGTTCTGTGTGCCAAGTTTGGTTCAATTCCATTGTTGGTGGAATTCAGAATGCTCTTTGATTGTAGGTGAACTATAAATGCCAGCAATTACAACTCCCAAATGTCAAGGTCTATTTTCCCCGAACTACACCTGTGTTCTCATTTGGGCATGTTGTGTATTCGTGCCAAGTTTGGTCCAGATCCAGGACTTATGCCCAGAGACTGTGAGCTGGAGAAGGACAGTGCTCCCCAGGCAACTACAATTCCCAAATGGTTGGGGGTCACCACAACATGAGGAACTGTGTTAAGGGGTCGCAGCATTAGGAAGGTTGAGAAACACTGCTTTATGAGTTGTTAGGACAGGTCCATCTGTTCCTTAGAAGGAGAGACAACCCAGGCACCCAATCCCCTTAAATTTTGCAGGAACAGAGAAGCAGAACAGAGTTATGCTTTCTCCAGCCTTGATCTATCTTTCAGAAAAGGCCACCAGATTATGGACCGGTTTCACTTTCTCTCGCTTTCTGCTCAGCCCTCTGAGCCACGCGTCACTTGTCAAATCTTTGGGAAAGTCCTACCTTTGATACTGATAAGATCCATGTTTTCCGAAACGGACTTCCCCGTCACAGGCAACCTCTTTGCAAGATAACCGAGCTCCTCTACAAATCAAAGAAAATCAAGTCATGCTTCTTTGAATTGCTGTCTGTAAGTCAGAGTTTATGGAAGTAACTCCTTGAATAGTAACTTTTCCAGGCTTTGTTTCAAGCAGCTCTCTCCAAAGTAATTTTAAAGAATGCTGACTTGGAATAATAGAATCTTAAAGAGCTTGAAGAGGACACAAAGGCCACCTAGTTCAGCCATGGGCAAACTTCGGCCCTCCGGGTGTTTTGGACTTCAACTCCCACAATTCCTAACAGCCTACCGGCTGTTAGGAATTGTGGGAGTTGAAGTCCAAAACACCCGGAGGGCCAAAGTGTCCTCATGCCTGACATAGTCCAAACCATCCCATGCACAAGTCTGCAATGAAATAACTCCTGAAAGATGCCCATCTCGCCTCTCTTTACAGACCTCCAAAAGTGGAGAGCCCACACCACTCCAAGGCAGCTCATAGAATCATAGAATCAAAGAAGAGACCTCATGGACCATCCAGCCTCTGTTTAAAAGCTTCCAAAGAAGGAACCTCTATCACACTCCAGGGCAGAGAGTTCCACAGCTGAACGGCTCTCACAGTCAGGAAGTTCTTCCTCATGTTCAGGTGGAATCTCCTTTCTTGTAGTTTGAAGCCAATGTTCCTTGTCCTATTCTCCATGGAAGCAGTAAACGAGCTTGCTCCCTCCTCCCTGTGACTTCCTCTCACATATTTATACATGGCTATCATATCTCCTCTCAGCCTTCTCTTCTTCAGGATAAACATGCCCAGCTCCTTAAGCCGCTCCTCATAGGGTTTGTTCTCCAGACCCTTGATCATTTTAGTCGCTCTCCTCTGGACACATTCCAGCTTGTCAATATCTCTCTTGAATTGTGGTGCCCAGAATTGGACACAATATTCCAGGTGTGGTCTAACCTGGAATATTGTGTCCAATTGTGGGCACCACAATTCAAGAGAGATATTGACAACCTTAACTCTTTGAATTAAACACCACAATTGATTTGCTTTACCAATTTGCAAGAGGGGGAATGAGGAACAAATCAATTTCCGGGATATGTTGTACCATGTTTACAAATAATTTATGTTATGGATACAAGATGATCATTCCATAGCTAGAATTCCAAAATCCAAAATTATCCCATATTGACCATATCAGTGACTTTTTTTGGTGTGTGTCAGGAGTGACTTGAGAAACTGTAAGTCACTTCTGGTGTGAGAGAATTGGCCATCTGCAAGACCGTTGCCCAGGGGACACCCAGATGCTAGAATAATAATAATAATAATAATAATAATAATAATAATAATAATAATCTTTATTTAATCCCCACTACCATTTCCCCAAAAGGACTCAGGGCAGCTAACACGAAGCCAAGTCCAACAATTACAATAAAACAAAGTAAAAATACATACAGCAAATAATAACATCAAATAAAATGCCAAAAATAATACAATAAGACAAACACAGGATATGAAATAAACATGAAAAAATTGAACACAGTGGGTTATGGCCAGATGCAAGGGGTAAAATTAAAAAAACCCAGGGTGAGATAGGTAAGTAGCATAATGTATCTGGTATTTATTTCTCATGTCAGGAGCAAACCAAACAGTTGTATTGCATTTTTAACAAACAAACAAACCACAAATTTTGCAAGCTTGGTAGTTGATTAAATGTCCTTTCACCAGTACCTGGCCACTTGGAGTGCTTCTGGTGTTGCTGCAAGAAGGTCCTCCATTGGCCAAGTGGCAGGGCTCAGGTCAGTGGTTTGCTCTTCTCCACACTCACATGTCGTGGATTCCACTTTGTAGCCCCATTTCTTGAGGTTGGCTCTGCATCTCGTGGTGCCACAATGCAGTCTGTTCAGCGTCTTCCAAGTCACCCAGTTTTCTGTGTGCCCAGGGAGGACTCTCTTATTTGATATCAGCCATTGACTGAGGTTCTGGGTTTGAGACTGCCACTTTTGGACTCTTGCTTGCTGAGGTGTTCCAGCGAGTGTCTCTGTAGATCTTAGAAAACTATTTCTTGATTTAAGTCGTTGACGTGCTGGCTGATACCCAAACAGGAGATGAGCTGGAGATGTCTCTGCCTTGGTCCCCCATCACTATTGGCTGCTACTTCCCGGCGGATGTCAGGTGGTGCAATACTGGCTAAACAGTGTAATTTCTCCAGTGGTGTAGGGCGCAGGCACCCCGTGATAATGCGGCATGTCTCATTAAGAGCCATATTCATTGTTTTAGTGTGGTGAGATGTGTTCCACACTGGGCATGAATACTCAGCAGCAGAGTAGCATAGCTCAAGGGCAGATGTCTTCACTGTGTCTGGTTGTGATCCCCGGGTTGTGCCAGTCAGCTTTCGTATGATATTGTTTCCAGCACCCATTTTTTGCTTGTTATTCAGGCAGTGGTTCTTGTAGTTTTCTGTGTGCCCAGGGAGGACTCTCTTATTTGGTATCAGCCATTGATTGAGGTTCTGGGTTTGAGACTGCCACTTTTGGACTCTTGCTTGCTGAGGTGTTCCAGTGAGTGTCTCTGCAGATCTTAGAAAACTATTTCTTGATTTAAGTTGCTGACGTGCTGGCTGATACCCAAACGGGATGAGCTGGAGATGGCACCGCCAAGCCTCCTTGCAGGATTGCAAGACATCCGGGCGTCCCTTAGGCCATGTCTTCGTAGACGGCTGATTCTCTAACTCCAGAAGCAACCAGAAGTGACTTGCAGCATGCAAACAAGCAAGCAAAACAACCAACTGACCCAGGCCCGTAGCCAGGATTTTGTTTCGGAGGGGGGGAGCTGAGTTTGGTTCGGGGGGGGGGCTGAGTCTGAGTGAAAGAGGGTCAGCCCTAGCAAACCTTTTGTATCGTTACCCCAATACCCCCATGCATATGGGATATATTGAGCATGGTGATCAGATCATGATATGAATAAACATAACAGTTTAAATAATGTACCAGTAAGGCCTTCTCGCGGACCACCATGAGAATTTCGGGGGGGGGGGGCTGAACCCCCCCCCCGCCCGTTTACATGCCCGAACTGACCTTTTCAGGTCCAACCATGACAATAATGTATCTGGTGGGGTTTAATTTCCACTAGGGGATGAGATCAAGTGCATCAAAGGACAATTTGTACTGGGACGGTCATGGTGTGGGGATTTGTTGTTCATTCTTCAAAAGCACGCCGGAACAGTCAGGTTTTCAGGCTTTCCCTAAAAGCTGTCAAAGTGGGTGCTTGCCTAATCTCCCTGAGTAGCGAGTTCCAGAGCCGAGGGACACCATCAAGAAGGCCCTCTCCATCGTCCCCACAAGCCGCACTTGCGACGGAGGTGGGAACGAGAGGAGGACCTGCCCCAAAGATCAACGAGATCATGGAGGTTCGTAGAAGGATATACGATCATGAAGGTAGGCGGGTCCCAAACCATTTAGGGCTTTGTAGGTGATAACCTGTATCTTACAATTCTCCCTTGCTACCCCACTGCAAGATTGCAGGCCTGGCAAGAAATGCTGCTAGTCTTTAGCTCTCCTTTTTTTCTGCTTTTCAAGTTGAAGAGGAGAAGCCAGACTTCTGGAATAAGCAAGCCTCCAAGGCCATCCAAAATGCCCTGAAACTTCAGCCACGGCATTACCAAGCAAAGAACCTCATCCTCTTCCTGGGAGATGGTGAGTGGTTGGGAAATGGGGCATCTACGCCATAGATTGAATGCAGTTTGGCACCACTTTAAGTGCCATGACTCATTGCTATGGAGTCATGAAAGTGTCGTACTGCACGATCTTGAGCCTTCACTTCCAAAGGGTGCTGGTGGCTCACCGAACTGCAACTCCCAACTGTCCATAGCATTGGATATAGCATCTGGAAAGGGTGTTTAATAATATATTTGCTTGTTGTCTCCTGAATGAACTATAAATCTTTCAGAGGAGAGAGGGGCATCGTGACTCGATAACACTAGCAGTGTGGGTGTCCTCACTTGGTGTCTGTCTCCTTGCAGGAATGGGCCTTCCCACCATCACTGCCACACGGATCTTGAAAGGCCAGATGCAGAGCCACCTGGGTCCTGAAACGCCCCTGACTATGGACAGCTTTCCCTATGTGGCTCTTTCGAAGGTAAGGAGCTGTAAATTACGAGCAATACTTCCCCCCATCTTCTCTTTCCCTTCAAATCTGGCAAAGTTCGTTTTATTATTTATTTATTTATTTATTTATTTATTTACCTTGCTTATATACCGCTGTTCTCAGCCCGAAGGCGACTCACAGCGGTTCACAACAAATACGAACAGCAAAAATTCAGTGCTACAGTATAGAAACAGTTAACAACCTAACACATTACACAATTAATAAACAGTTACTACAATACCCATTCACTGTCGTCTCGTCATCAAAAACATGTTCCAGATTCTTCATCCATTGTTCCATTCCAGTGTTCATTAACCAATCATTGCACTAATTATTTGAACGCCTACTCAAACAGCCAGGTCTTCACCTTTTTGCGGAATACCATTAGAGATGGTGCTAGTCTAATGTCCGTAGGAAGGGCGTTCCACAGCCGAGGAGCCACCACCGAGAAGGCCCTATCTCTCGTCCCCGCCAGCCGAGCTTGAGAAGCAGGCGGGATCGAGAGCAGGGTCTCCCCGGAAGATCTCAAAGTCCTGGTGGGTTCATAGGCAGAGATGCGGTCGGATAGGTAGCTTGGGCAGGAACTGTTTAGCGCTTTAAAGGCCAACGCCAGCACTTTGAATTGAGTCTGGTAGCAAATCGGTAGCCAGTGGAGTTGGCGCAACAGGGGGGTTGTATGCTCCCTGTGCTCCGCTCCTGTTAAAATCATGGCTGCCGAGCGTTGGACTAGTTGGAGCTTCCGAGCTGTCTTCAAAGGCAACCCCACGTAGAGAGCGTTGCAGTAGTCTAAATGGGATGTAACCAGAGCGTGGACTACCGTGGCCAAGTCAGACTTCCCAAGGTACGGGCGCAGCTGGCGCACAAGCTTTAGCTGTGCAAATGCTCCCCTGGTCACCGCCGAAACCTGGGGTTCCAGGCTCAGCGATGAGTCCAGGGTCACACCCAAGCTGCGAACCTGCGTCTTCAAGGGGAGTGCGGCCCCATCCAACACAGGCATTACAACTCACACAATCCCCCTTCCAGTCGGGTCCAACACCCTCTAACTTTTCTTATGCTGTCAGAAAAGGATCTTTTCCCCTTCCATCAGCATTTCAATTAAGAATTCAAGCAGGAAACTCCATTTCTCACTGCCACTATCAACATTGGGAGGTAGGGTTGCCAAGTTAAATAAAGGGCAAGGCTCCTGTCCCTTTAATAGTTGTGTAGAAGAGGGATTTCCAGCAAGAACTACTTTGCAATCTTACAGTGATGTGTGTGGTGTTGATGGGGCCACTGCAGGATCCAAATACAGGCAGTCATAGAATCATAGAATCCTAGAGTTGGAAGAGACCTCGTGGGCCATCCAGTCCAACCTTTTTTTTGCCAAGAAGCAGGAAAATCGCATTCAAAGCACTCCTAACAGATAGCCATCCAGCCTCTGCTTATTTATTTATTTATGCTATTTCTACCCTGCCCATATCAGCCCAAAGGCGACTCAGGACGGCGAACAAGTCGGCACAATTTGATGCCATATATAAAATACATACATCAATAAAAGTAGAAAAAATACAATGTATTTAAAAGCATAAAAACAGTAAACAATAAAAAAAAATAAAACTATGTCTTCATGTTCAGTCCTCATCCGTTCCGTCGTCTTAGCCGTTCCTAGATCATTTTCCAATTCAAGTTTGTATGATTATGCTGAGGCTCCAAAAGCTTGCTTGAAGAGCCAAGTTTTCCATTTTTTTCAAAAGGTCAGGAGGGAGGGGGCCGACCTAATATCCCTAGGCAGGGAGTTCCACAGCCGAGGGGCCACCACAGAGAAGGCCCTGTTTCTCATTGTCAGGAGTCAATTTCTGACAGCGTGACATCCTGACTGAATCATCCTGGCTGCCTCAATTCTCTCTCTGTGACATTTTGAAGCCAGCAGAGGGCGCTGGAAACCTTGTATTGTAACTTGTGAAGCAACAAGCTCTAATAAGGAGACTGAGAAGAGCGGGGAGTTGGGCAGGAAAAGTGTATAAAAGGAAGTGGTGGTGGGAAAAAAGTCAGTAGTGTCTTTCTTTGCTGCAGAGATACAAACAATATATCCATTTCAAAGCAAAACCGGCTTGTGAGTGGTCATTTAATATTGCTATATAGATCCTACAGTCTTACACTCGTCCCCGTCAGATGTGCTTGTGAAGTAGGCGGGATCAAGAGCAGGGCCTCCTCTGATGATCTCAAGTTCCTGGTGGGTTCATAGGGAGAGATGCGTTCAGATAGATAAACTGGACCGGAACTGCTTAAAAGCCTCCAAAGAAGGCGCCTCCCACCACACTACGCGACAGAGAGTTCCACTGTTGAACACCTCTCACAGTCAGAAAGTTCTTCCTCATGTTCAGGTGGAATCTGCTTTCCTGTAGTTTGAAGCCATTGTTCCATTGTGTCCTATTCTCCAGGGCAGCAGAAAACAAGCCTGTTCCCTCCTCCCTATGACTTCCCCTCACATCTTATTCCATGGCCTTCACCATGTCTCCTCTCAACCTTCTCTTCTGCAGACTAAACATGCCCAGTTCTTTAAGTTGCTCCTCATAGGGCTTGTTCTCCAGACCCTTGATCCTTTGAGTCGCCCTCCTCTGGACACATTCCAGCTTAGAGTCAACATCTCCCTTCAATTGCAGTTCCAAGAATTGGACACAGTATGATTCCAGGTGTGGTCTGACTAAGGCGGAATAGAGCATGGGTAGCATGACTTCCCTGCATCTAGACACTAGACTCCTATTGATGCAGGCCAAAATCCCATTGGCTTTTTTGCCGTCACATGACATTCCTGCCTCATGCTCCCCTTCGTCCCCACAAGGACTCAAAGATCTTTTCCACACATCCCGCTGTCGAGTCAGGCACCGCCCCCCATTCTGTCTCTTTGCATTTCATTTGTTCTGCCTAAGTCACCAAAGTTATGAACAAGATAGATTCTGTACATTTGTTCTTAAGGTGAATTTGTATGTAATTCAGAACAGGTACATTTTAAAGCGTAACTCCAGCTTTGGATAGCATAGGGAAGTGTTAACACTCCTGAGATGTTTGCTTTGTGGCCTGTGCCCCTGATCAGAAGATTTCAGCTCACTTTCTGTTTGTGTGATTATTGGATATTGAAAACTTTGTCTTGTTGTGGAAACAAGAATTGATTATAAAGCTTCAGTTGAGACACCTTTTGCCAATGATAATTCTTCCAGGAGTGGATTTTCCTTCTGAGGAGCAGGTTTCCTCTCACTTCCTGTTGTCTCACCCCTGTTTGAGACTCTGAAGATCACCTGGGAAGGAATCCCAGTGGAGCATTGCAGCGCACCCAAATACCTGGGAATCACTCTGGGCCGTGCTCTTACCTACAAGAAGCACTGCCTGAACATCAAGCAAAAAGTGGGTGCTAGAAACA